TAATATTACAATTCAAAATCGGAAAAGTACAAGAACTACACTCCAAACCCAACAGTGTACTTACAAGGGAAGGTTTTCCGGTGATACAGTCAGATTTCAAAGGCGCTTTAAGGAGTAGTTGTTTGCACCTCTAGATTAGGATTGACACTGGTTTTAGCTGCCCGTAGGGGGTTTGGGGGTCATTTCACAAGAATTTCATCAAAAATTTCCCAAATTCCTCGTTTTTTTGCCATCTTTGCATGCACATATCTCCGAAACCGTTTGAGCTACAGCGCCCAGATTTTGCAGGTAATTATCTTTCAATTAGTACTTTCCATGAAAAATATTTGAACCAAATCAATGGGGTTCGCCAAAAAGGGCCGAGGGTCGCAACCCCCTCTCCGGACCCATTTTTGCGACCCTAATCGATTTCATTCAAATTTTCTACAAGTAAAGAATGTGCTAAATTATGATTTCCGTCAAAGTCTGGGCGCTGTAGCTCAAACGGTTCTTGAGATACGTGCATGTCAAGTTGATAATCAGGCTAAAAAGTTTGGCAAATTTTCAATGAAATTCGCGTAAAACGACCTTCAAACTCCTTTTCGGACAGCTAAAACCAATGCAAAACCTAATCTAGGGATGAAAACAACAACACTTTGAAGCGCCATTGAAATATGAGTGTATCACCGGAAAACCTTCCCTTGTTAGTACACTAAAGGAAGAGTTCCACACGCACAACTGGAAACCAAATGAATGTCCAATTACTAACGCGCCTGTTGTTTTCCATGGTGTTTATGGCCATCCCATGCACTGTCTACTAGGTGTACAGTACAGTACTCATAAAAAAATGACTCCGTTGTTTTACCAGTAAATGGTGTGTATAAGGATTGAAGAAGCCTCAGCAGCCACAACACCTTTCCGGGCAGGGGAAGTATAGTGTAAGCCAAAGGTGTCCGGCAACTGTGCGACTTAGGCACCCTTTATTCCCGGGCGTCCAGAGTGGAAGAAAGGAGTGGAGCAGAAGAAAAGTCCTACATATCAAAAAAGGAAA